ATAAGGCAGGCGGAGGTGTTGTAACCTGTAGTCACGCGTTTCTTCTGCCCTCCTGAGACGCCACGAAGCATTTCATTCCCCACCAAAGTGTCGGCACAAACTTCTAAGCCAAGCACCTTCATCATGTAGTCTGTAGCCATACTGTGTTTTTCCCTTTAACAGCCATTGCCTGTAACCATAAAGTTTAGTGGAAAGACTAGTCCTTGAAATCTAAACGGCCGGACCTTCATAAAGGCATCGATTTCAGGATCCGGGTGAATGTGTCGCTCCTTCTCTCTGCCGACTAGCTCAGTTAGCATCTCTGGAAAAGATCCAAGGAGTAAGAATCTAGCGCCAAAGTTTTTGCTACTACGCACCGTTTTTGTAGCCAACACCTTGGCAGCGAGCAGAAAAATCCAGTGTCTCTCGGACAGTCATCTCTCCAATATGGTTGTCCTCTTGACCAATATACGCAGAAGTTCCCAGGGGCTCAAACTCGTTGAAGCCATGGCCGTTGTAAGTTATTGTACCGGTTGCCTGCGGGCAGAAAAGACAGTTTACCGCAAAAGAAAGCAAACCAGGACACACCCTCAGATCCGCTTCAAGTTTTCCAGCGAGTGCCACCAGCAACGTCGACTTTCCGGCTCCAGGCGGTCCCAGCAAAAGAGTCATTCTGCAAGGAAGGAATCCAGCACCAAGATAAGAGAAATGGAGGTAAATGAAGCAGCTCACCTTCCGGGTTTGATGACCCCACTCACGTCCTTGAGAATCTTAAAATCCTTCTTGTCCGATGACATGATCTTCATGGAAACTAGCATGTCCTGAGAAGAAAAAAAGAGAGTGGTGTTTGATCTCAATCGATACAGTAAGCCAGTTACCTCCACAAAATTCCTCACGAAGTTTGTGAGGCTTGGTAAAGCTCTCGATCCAACGTGAACATCAGCACTGATCCGGAGATGCTCGAAGCGAACCTCCACCGTGGGAAGCGCAATGCGGACCCTGTCAAGTCAGTAGTTCTACAGTGAGCTCCTCCTCCTCTGCCGAGATGAAAGCCAGCAGCCAAGAATCGATCGATGACACCGACCTCTGGAGGCGCTCCTTGAGCCGCTGCAAGAGGTGGAGATTGTCTTGATCGGTGGTGGCAAACGCGCTCTCCAACACCCGCTGCCTCTCACCCCTGCTCAGGTACCTCACATCCACCGGGACCTTCTCCTCCTCGTTCAAAAAAACCATGCGGAGGCGCTCGTAGGCTGGGAACTCCTCCAGCGCTGCCCACATGAGCGCTTCCGCGTCCTCATTGTCCTCCACCGCCACTGATTTCCTCGCAAACGGCGTGCCGTGAGCATCGGTGCTGACATTATCCTTCCATACCTTTGACGATCGATGCTCGGGATTTAGAAACAGGCCTCCCATCGGGGCCGCGGCATCTGCCGCCATTGCTGCGCGCCCTACACACTACTGCCGAGGACGCTAGGGCAACGCGAGCGTCCACACAACATCAGCTCCATCAGGCACGCACGGCGCCTTGAGAATGCGGCTGGATCGCAGTCCTCCGCCCACGTTTTTGAAATGACCAGGCACCAAGAACCCTAATAACGGAAATAAACGCGTCTTCGAAAGCTAGGGTTATTTGGGGCAAGGCGTAGATCTGCTAGATCCAGGAGGAGGCGATGATGGCGAGCAGTGTGGCAACGCAGCAGCAGAGCTTGGCGCCGACGCCAGCGGCTCGGGCTTTCCTCTCCCGTCTCTCCGATGGTATGAAGATGGCGGTTGCGCAGCGCAGGCCGTGGAAGGAGCTTGTAGATCGCAACTCGCTGGCCAAGCCCGAGTCCCTCTCCGACGCCCTGGGCCGGATCCGCAAGAACATCGGCTACTTCAAGATCAATTACATCTTGGTCGTGCTGGGCTGCATCGCGGCGAGCCTGGTCTATCATCCTCTCTCGCTCCTC